AGAAGGTGTATTAGTTTCTGTGTTGATGAGTTTTTTATAGTTTTCTCAAAGCTTAACATTCAACAGGTTAAATCAGAGAATCACCTTTGCTCCATCATCTCTCACTAATGACCTGATTTAGTGCAATTGGAACAAAGTCACTTGAGTATATCATACTCAGACTTGAATGATCAGTTAATCAAAATGACAATAACAATCCATTAGTATCCAGAATCTGTATACTTATCTGAAAACATACTTGTATAAACTGAGTGATACATTCCTTCTGATGCTAAGTACTGTATATAACTTGGCTTCTTTGATTAATAAATTGGTATAAATCAAGGTGTATGAAGTTTCTAGAAGGTTTTCTTCAGAGCAAACGGAGTGGTTTGCTTTGCATTTACTCATCCTTGATGACATTGGTGAGACATTGCTCACAGAAAGAAATATTCTTCACTCAGTTGATCACTCAGTTTGTCTCAAAATGAAAAAAATACAGTACATAAAATATTTTCAGAGGGGTACGTTAGTAAAAAAAAATAATCAGATTTTAATTCTTTCCAATGTGTTTTAAAACATATTTTGAATGTTTAGCAGGAAAAATGGAAAAGAAAATCCAAAACATTGAAACATTGATATAGAACATTCTTCCCAAAGCAGATGGTGATTATATATTCCATATGGCTCCTAGTTTCCATTCCATATGGAAATTTAGTGCTTTCGGACTGGTGTTTCCTGGCAGTCACAGGTTCCTTAAAATCCTCCCAAAACAACACCGAAAGATTCATGTTAGGACATATTAGACAATATATTTAGGTTATGTGCCTCTTTAGAAATTCTGTTATTGATTTGGCTGTCTGCTGTCTGCTTTGGCTTGTTCTTGTCACTGAAATGTAAAGCTAATTGCAACAGACCTGAGACCACTGGACATCTTTTCAGATATCACCCTTCCAAGTTAAAGCAGATCCACACCACGGTGGTGTCACGAAGCGTTCTTTCAGGACCCTCTGTAGACAACACAATCCGGGGTGAGTGAGGAAAACATGGGGAAAGAGGCATGCGAGGGGCTGGAAGGAAAACAGGGGGCGTGTCCACAGTGCAGTAGTGTTCTGGGAGGTATGGCCGAGGCAAACAGTCCAAGGGAGTCCGAGGCAAATCCATGAATGAAGCAAAAGTCCATAGCCGGGTGATCCATCCTGACAGACACACAGAGTTAAAAACCGGAGCGGGATTCGGAGGAGGGACAGGGAAATAAAAAGGGGGGTAACGGGACCAGACGCTCACTGATCCCAGACCCAGATGGTCAGGACGCTGTTGTGAAGCCTATGCTGTCGAGTCACTCCTGGACTCATGGGTAGGCGGGCTTCCGGGCGTCCATGTTCCAAAGCTGAGCCCTGATAGGCAGGAATGTCTGGTTTATATAACACGCGGAGCTGGCACCGGAGGCAGGTGCTGGAGATGAGTATAAACAAAGTAGGGCTGGAGTGTCCTCAAGAGGAGGGGTTTACGATCGTGACAGGTGGAATGGCCTGAAAAGAGCTTTCTTTGTCAGTAATTTTTTTATGTATATGAATACTTGTCTTTGGTTTGAAAAACATTTTTTTTTATTTATCACGTGATATTTGCAAATATTTTTCTGTCTCTTAGAATTGAATATAGAAATGGTTGCACGTAATTACTTTATACTTCCTAATTGGTTTTACTGCATTTATAGTCATACCGCAACTCTGACAGTGTCTTTGATTTGAGACTTCTTTAACATTCTAACTTCCCCTTTAATCTTGTCTTTATTAACATTACCAGGAAGTAAATGTATTTTCCTTGCTCCTATCAGAGTCATCTAAGCTTTGAAGAGGTTCTTTACATCTAGAGCAGTGGTTTCCAGTCATGGTCCTGGTGACCCACACCTGTTGGTTTTTGTTCCAGCTGAGTCCTGTTTCATTATCCAACCCTTCCTTGACTTCATAACCAGATTAATTTGAATTGTTTTTTCCCAGCTCTTAAACATGTTGGAGCTTTAAACACTGTTTTTTAATGAAATAAAATGCTGAAATATTCAATTGAAGCAACTTCTTAGATCAAGTAAGACTTCAATTATCTAATGACAGTGGGATGGATTGAAAACCAGCAGGTGTGTGGGTCATTGAGACGAAGACTGGGAACCACTGATCTAGAAGTAACTATCTGAACTTTAATCTATGGACAGTAAATAGCTGTAGGTGAAATTAATTATCTAATTATTGTATGATTGGTGTCAGCTCTGAAAATGTCCTTTCTCACATTTATTAGGTTTTCTTTGGTACATAATAAGCATGCCTGGTAGTTAGAGGGTGGTTAATTCCTTTTCTGTTTGTATAAAATCTGAAAATGCTTGCAAAAAGCCCTCCTGGACTTTGCTCTGTGGCCATTGTGTTGTGTGTGCAGACATTCCCTGGTTGTGCACAGAGTTTGTGATGGTACCCATTGTTTTGTAAGCCTATGCACCCTACCTTGTGCCCACTGCTTGCAATGAGAGGCTCCAGTCCCACTGTAACCCTGAACTGGAAGAAGTGGTTAAAACATGAAAGGATGGTTCTAATCCAGCTGCCAATGGGTGCAAGACAGGATACACTGTAAATACATAGGGCGCACAAACACCTACATACAGTATTCACTCACATTCAAATATGGGAGAAAATTTAGAAATGTCAATTGATCTGGACTGCATGTCTTTGGCTTTTGGGAGGAATCAAGAATACCTAGAGAAAACCATCACCGCCGTGGCCAGAACACACAAATCTTACACAGGAAGGTATGCACTCCAACAATGGACCTTGGGCTTGAAGGCATGGGGCAAGACTGAGCTGAGGCAGCACTAATAATTGCCACATCCCCATGCCTACAGCTTCCAGATGGATGTCTTCAGAATGAATGTAATTGCATCACCATCACCCGTGATCTTCTAGCCTCAGTCCTGAAAGCTGATGCTATAATCCAGTAATGATCCTTCCAGTCATTTTCTCACCATTTTTTCCAATTTAGGCTTGTGGGGGAAACGTATGCAATCGATTGGCACAAGCAATGGGCACAAGGCAGGTACACCCTGAATGGGACGCGAGTACATTGCAGGGGGGTAATGACTCGATATATTTTACATTTTCAATTATCAAGAAACATTTATAAAAATTGCATAAAACCATTTTCCAGCCCGGCTTTGCATGTAAATGTGAAACATCAGATTTTCTTTTGCATACAGTATGAAGGATAAACTATTACACAAGTGATTAAAACATATGTCAGGCGATTTAGGCAATAGACCACAGAGATGGGGAGGCCTCCAAATAATACCTTTTTTTTCAGAATCTTTCAGAATCCTCGGAACCTCAGGCTTCATCACTTCCCAGAACACTGAGAAAATCTGTGCTTTTTCTTTTAAAAAAAAAAAGAAAAGATTTGTTCCTGCGTCACATTGCTTTAATTTGTTCACCAGCTGCCAAAGTAAATTATGACCTGCTGAAGTGGTTCTTTACTTGGCACAGTATCCATACCGGCAGGAGAGCTTCTTGGATCAAGATCCTGAACAAGTGTAGTCTTTACTGTATACTGAATATGACATGAAAAACAAAAAGCAATAGGAGACCCCAACCTAACCCTAACTTGTGAAGCTGTCAGTTTCCCTTGCAGTGTTTACCCATGCTCTGTCCACTGAACTACTTCGAGACAAAGCCTATAGTATTACATGGTCTTTTGATCCCTGAAATAGTCTAATCCTTTAGGTTTTTTTGTCTTCTGCAGTTTTCTTTTGAAATACTGTAGTTTATGATGTAACTCCAAGTGCTGCCCCAGAAAGACTTTCCAGACAAACAATAGTCAGGAGAAACAGTCGTAATGTTGTTGGAAAACAGGTTAATTTCTCGTGTTCATTTAAAATCCCATATCGAATTGAAGTGAGTTGTACTGTATACAATTTGTAAAATGACGCTGTGAGATGAATAATGTTTTAAAATTAAATAATCTTTGATTTAGCTTTATATTTTGATATTTTCTTACAAACACATTTTGCGTAGGTATTTGATGTCTTGATTTTTGTTTAGTCACAGTTTCACCAAGCAAGTATTTGCTTCTGTAAGTCAGTATTTACTCAAAACAAGCTGTACAGACCTAAGAGTTTACAAAAACAGGTGTTATAAACTGAGGCTCGTTTCTTTCATTGGTATATGACTGTAGAGACTGTCAGGAGGGCAACTCGAGGGGTATTTCACAAATCAAATACATTTTTAATTCACCCCTTGCTTAGAAGACTTGCCAAATTTAATGCATTGATAATATTTAGCTGTGATTAAGCAGAGCACAGAAAAAAAGCGTTCTGTAGTTACAGTACTTCCTATTACACTATAGTTCACGGTTAACGTTTATCAATAATATTGTTTTTTTCTTGGCACAAAGCATGTACAAATTACTTAGCACCCAAGTTTTAGTAAATCGAGTAGAAACAAATTCGACTGAAAGAGTAAAAAACAATTCAAATAACCTCTTGGGCTCTTCGCTGCTTTTGCCTTGAACCTCAGTATCAACAAGCTCCTTCGAGCGGTTCAAGTTAATAAATTCACTTTACAACTACCAATTGACGGCTGTCGAAGACTGGGTCAGAATAACATAGTCGTGCGTTAATTAATGTAGGAAAATCACTATTGCTTTTATTTTAAAAAAATATGTCACATACAAAGATACCTACAGTAAGTAAGATATTGAGTGTGCTTGAAGGTCTCACTAATATCATTGTCTTTTTTAACAATCTGTTCACATTTTCCAGCTGCGAAAACCAAAAGCAGATGTTTCGATTAGGGACAGGCTGCTGCTGTGTGCCAGAATGAGGGGGAAAGAAACAACACATTACGTTTCCAAATGATGTTTTGATTCAGGTGACAGGGAGGGATCCGGGGCACCTTGAGAGAGAGAGAGAGAGAGAGCGTCCTCTCGCTTCCCGGACCATTCCAGCTACAATATATAAAGTCGAAAGTTACTCCTGCGCTCCCAGAGCTCGTATAGGGTTAGCGAGAAGCCACGTCCCACCTAACCCCAGACACTAACTTCCCAAAGCAAAAAGCAACACAAAAACCTTTCTAAAGGATTAACGGTAAGGTATTTTCAAAGCTTTTTTTTCAGTATATTACGGAGCAAGAAAAAATATTACTACTACAATTTCCACATTATTATTATTATTATTATTTGTTGTTGTAGTTGTAGTATTAGTAACAATCGCTATTGTCAAGCATTTGACGTTGATGAACTAACGAGGTGAATTCGATTATCTTTTACTTTCGGCGTACTGTACCACGTGCGAAAGCAAGTTGAGCCGCATCAGTTTCTGCCTCTTATTCAGCAGTCGAACCGATTGAAACGAGACGTTCCCGTTTTTTTTTTTTCCTGTAAAGCGTATAAACGTGAATTTGCTCTTTGATTTGCTTACAGTACCCCGGCTGAATCGGAATACATCCATCTGCCACTGATCAGAGAGCGCAGACTGAGGATGACGGAAGTTCTGAAGCTGTGCACGCTGAAAGCGCTGATTTTGCATGTTGCTTGCGGAGCAAGTGCATGGGTAGTGACTAATTCAACAGACACCTTATCGGCAGCAACCAATTTCACCGACATCGACTCTGCACTGAAGCACCACCTAGACACCGCGAACATCCCCAAAACCAGGCGGAGGCGTTACATTTCACAAAACGACATGGTCGCGATCCTAGATTACCACAATAAAGTGCGAGGAAAGGTGTTTCCACCTGCTTCTAACATGGAATATATGGTAAGTCTTTGTTGTGGACTGGCAGGTTTATTTCTACTGCTGCAACTCTTCAAGCGGAGACAGAGCTCACCGCCTGCAGATGTCATATTCATTTAGCTGTGGTATAGCAACATTTCCTTCTGAAATGTGAATAAATTATTGGACTGCCCGCGGATTGGTCATAGACTATCTTGCGTGAAACGAGTCTTATTTAAGGCGGTGGGCTACTGAGTGCATTCGGTATTTCTCTATCCCTTTTTTTCTGCCGGTGTTTCTGAGAAAAAATTCACGTGAGTCAGTTCCAAGTACTGTCACAAAAAAAATAGAAAAGGCTTTTAAAAGTTCGTAAAAAATCCAGTCTCTACGTTACCTTATATAGGCATTCTAACAAATGCTTCAAAACGGGTTGTGCTGTTAGCAACGCGGGTGTGAAATTCTCTGGTGTAGACAGCGGTGCTTCTTAAGATGCGAGGGCTAAGAAATTAGGCATACTGTATAAATAGACAACCTGATTAAAAGACTTTGGTTCCTGCAAAGATGGAAATATTTTGAAAAAAGACATACCGAGATTTAGCCTTTTTTCCTAAATTGGAAGACTTGAAACGCCACTGGTATACAAATACTCTGATATAAAGTTGGCTTAAACACGATGGATTGACTGCACAAGTCCTGGCTCTGGCCAAATATGTTTGTTGAGAGCTGTATTCAATAACAAACGCAAATGGTAGTTCTCAGACATCTATAGCTGTTGCTTTTTTTAAAAAAAAAAATCCTTTAATCACACACAGAATTTCAAACATTACTATATTATTTCAAATAAAGTGTTTTTTTATATTAAATCGGCTTGGCTTCGGACATGGGCTATTACATTCAATTAAACATCATGTTGTAAAAAGAGACTTTGAAAAGCATGAGACAACCTTGCTCCTGTAATGACTTGGTTGGGTTGATCATGTGCAGGCTAGGATGTTGCTGGAAATGGGGTACTAGCAGGGAAGTAGTGGTTTTCTTTCTTCTTATCCGTTTATTTTTAAATAAATTAAGTTGTTCTTTAGTTATTTTAAGTTATAAAAGTGAAGTGAGATTAAGCTATGTAGACGAGGGCAACTTCAAAGCACACCCCTGTACAAACATAAACTGTGAGGTGCATAAGGAGTAGCTTTCAGTTTTGTGTCTTCTGTATCCTTTCGCATCAACAGCTGTCAAGCAGCTTGAAGTGCTTTGGACCACCAAAGCACTGCAGGAAAGCGATATCACACCTCCTCACAGTGAAAAAAAGTCTGAACGTTGCAGCATTCATGGCTCTGAGAGGAGGAGACTTACAGCATCACTCTGCTCTGACTCGAGAAGTGTGAGGCTAAGGAAAAGAAGGCAAACGTATAACAGATCTGCTTAATTTATTAAATATGCAAGGTATATAAAAGGAAACTTTTATGCTTCAGCAATTAAAAATATAGCAAGTCTTAATTCGCAATAAAATGTTGAATTCATATTTTGGGAAAGTAAGTAAAAGAAAACGTGTAGCCGAGTCACTACTAAATTTTGAAAGAATGTTACTTTAGCCCAAGGAATGACACCTAATGTGTGACATGAAAGCTGTAAAACATGCTGGTATGCAATTTTTTTTTTCTTATCAAAATTGCAGCATTCTATGAAACAATACTCATTATTGCCATATTGTTTTTTTCCAAATAACAGTGACAGCTAAATTTTAATTATTTTCCCTCTTAGATACACTTAGGAGAACTAAAAATGTCTATTGTGATGCAAATTTCATTTGTAGTCTGAAGCACCTGGATTTGTTAGAGCAGGGTAGCTTTTTATTTTAAACCAGCTTCTCAAGTCTGAGGAGAGCTTTACAGATTTAGTCCTCACGTATTTGTTTACAAGGAACATGACTGACACTATCTGATACTTCATATACTGTATAACTATACTGTACTGTAGTATACCTAGTTAAAAAAAGTACGCTACACTGGAGCAGGGAATAAATGCATCCATGTAGTACAACAGATAAGCACGCATTAGATTTACTTTACAGTATATTGTATTCTGGGGAAGAACACATCCCTGTGAGGCAGGGCAAGTCATTTATAAAAAAATACTTGAGGTGATTTGTCTCCATTTATGTCCTGTTATAGGTGAATTTTAACTTCAGTGTGATCAAAGGGTGTAATTTGTGGGAGCCCTTTAAGAGCACCCCACTGCAAGCCACAGGGACACCTCAAAACATCATACAAAACAATAGAGCTGAATGGAATGGGAGTCTGAAGGTATCCGTTATGTTTGGGTGTGGAGCGACATGGTTACCTGAGCCGCCTGAGGGAAGACCCCAACCCCAGATTTCACTTATCACAAGACAGCATTCCTACAGGAAGCAACATAGCCCCCTTAAAACAGTGTTGTTCACACTCTGACAGGTCTTCATGTTCAGGAAAACCAAAATGATGGAACCCTTTTATCTCACTTATAACTCACTCTTCACTAATAAGTAAGCAGATCGATTTACATCAAACTCTTTTATCCCATCTTGTGCGTGCGTGACAGGTCTGGGATGAAAATCTGGCTAAATCTGCAGAGGCCTGGGCAGCCACCTGCATCTGGGACCATGGGCCTCAGTACCTCCTGAGATTCTTGGGTCAGAACTTATCCGTCAGAACAGGACGGTAGGCTCTGGTCTTCTTCAAAAAAACTTATTTTTCTCATGAGAGGATTTTTGATAATGCTTGTAGAGCAGGAATGACATTGTGTTTTTAATGAATTACACTTTACATTGACCGTAAGTCATAATATTTAAGGCTTAAAGCCATACTGTATATATTCCTGAATTCATTAGTATGATTAACAGGACCCCATGATAAACTGTTAGTGGAAATGTCTAGAAGGTCTTCAGGATAGTCATGTGTCCTGATGGAAATATAGACTACATGGAAGTGACCTTGAGTCTTCATGAATTCCTTTTTCTACCATGTATAAAATGTGGATAGAAACTGGGTTACAAATGTACAGAATGAAGCCCAGTGCAGAAATAAGCATATGTAAAATACTTCTGCTTGAATGTATTTTTTGGCTTGCAGCTACCGATCCATTCTCCAGCTTGTGAAGCCCTGGTATGATGAGGTCAAAGACTACGTTTTTCCTTATCCACGTGACTGCACTCCCCGGTGTCCTCTCAAATGCTATGGGCCCATGTGTACACACTATACCCAGGTAAGTTCCTGAATGTATTGGCTTACTGTATGTCAAAATGACATGAACTGGTTAATAAATCTGTCCAATTCTAAATCTGTCCATTTACGTGTAGATGGTGTGGGCCACATCAAACAGAGTTGGGTGTGCTGTTCATACCTGCCACAATATGAATGTCTGGGGCTCAATATGGAGAAGAGCTACATACTTGGTGTGCAATTATTCTCCAAAGTAAGTGACTTTTTATGACCATAACATTTATAGCATGTATGCCACAAGCAGACTACATTAAATTGCTTAATGGTAACACTTATGACTCAGACTGATTGAGATTTCTTTGTCTCAATGTCCAATCCTGGATATTTTGCGGTATGACAGTGCTGTAAGTTTCACTTAACTAGCAGCAACAGCCCTGGAGTGGCATTTAATGAATCCATGAAAGGTGTGTTAACTACGTAGCCGTTATTGGTTTCTTGAAGAAATCATAAATTGCACGCCATTCTCTCTTTATACTGTATGTAGAATTAAGCAGTTGTCCTTTCAACAAAAAGGAAAAACAATACATCTGTTTATCAGTTTTAATTGAACCTCAAGCTCCAGTTCACAGCGGCTTGTTGTGTTATTTCACCTATTATCTTCAAAGTTAAACTAAGCACACTCTTCCGAGAGTGAAGCAAATTCTCTGGTTTACGGCCTCTGTTCTCAGAGTTTGATGATGATATATTGATTGGTCCAGTTGCAATCAAGAAACAATACCCAGTTCTTTTGATTCTCATTTAAAGACAGCTTGGTTCTGTTGTGAGCTCTGATTTTTTTCAAGTCGGTCAAGAATGTCTGATTCCTGTCAATTCTCTGTTAATCTCAGAGAACACCTGCCTGTAGCCATGGCATAGCTTTTTTTAATGTGACCTGGTATGTTCTTTAACAATACATGCTTTGACACCCTGGACAGGCGTTATATACTGTATAGCATATATTTACCCCAGATCTTGGATGTCATCTCCCTATAGAACCTGCAGAATCAATTAAAGAAGCAAGATTTGAATACGTCTCCTACAGCAAACTTATACAAATGTATCGTCAGCCTTATTACGTCATTGGATTCTGAATTCAGTGACAGGTGTGCAGAGGGATGTGGGATCATGCCACCCAGAGATGGGTCTCGTGGACATTCTCAATCAAGATAGTGTGCATCTGCTGATGCATGATGTAAAACCTTAATTAGCACGAGTCAGCTTTCTTCACAAAAGTCATCATGGATTCGCTGCTCATGATAATATTGATCTGTTTTGTTTTTCAGGGGGAACTGGATTGGAGAGGCCCCATACAAAGTAGGCGTTCCTTGTTCAGCATGTCCTCCCAGCTATGGGGGTTCCTGCACTGATAACATGTGCTTTCCAGCAGTGAACTCAAACTATCTTTATTGGTTTAAATGAATTCAGCTCTGTATGCTGGAGATATTTGCCTATCAGGCATCTTTCAATGTATTTGCACAACATTCCTGCATAGCATAATTTGTATATAAGTTTTTCTATTTAAACCATGTTCATATTTACAAAGGTAGCATATAATATCTGGACAACAGTTAATATAATTCCACTCTTCTTAAAGTGTACATAAAATGTATGATTAATATTCATTTTATACAGCAGTGTATTTTAATGTACTTTTTTAAAACATTGTTTTATTTGCTTTTTGTAAATGAGGTGTACTGATTGGGAAAGTAGATCGTGTCTAGAATATTTATCTTAAGGGAACATTCAAATATTAAAAATTATAATTCTGAAAATGGTGCTAGTATTATGGTTCTGAGCAAATGTTTCAGTTTTCTCAAACTTTGTTTTTTTTAACTTTGACCATTTTATACAGATGGTGCTTTACCTAAATTTGGTTACTGTAGGTTCAAACTGTATGTTGTTTTTAAAACATTGTTTTAAGGTGCTTTATTTATGTCTTCTTTGTCAGATACAAAATATCAGAATGGTATTACAGATTGGAACACTGTTTTATTTTCATCACTTTGAGAGTACGCCAAGGGTTCCTTTCCCTGGGGTGGTGGATGCCTGTGTCTGGTGGTGTCCAGCTAAGTTTTAAATCTCCACTGTTAATTGATTATGTGCCTGCTTGTTTAGATTTCATTTGATTTGGTTTACAGTATGCTCTAAAATACCCAACTTCAGGTGTACTGTTGCTGACGACGTCTGGAAACAGAACATCCTATAGTCTCTCCTCAGCTTGCTCACCCTTATTTCTGACTGAGCAACTATATCGATGGGTGCTCATGTTGGGATGAACAAGCAGAAGAGAATGGCAATGTCTCAGACACGGCCACAGCAGTGATTGACGGTGTCTCAGACACGCCCACTGCTTTGAATGACAGAGTCTCAGACTCACCCACTAGTGGGAATGACAGTGTCTCAGACACACTCAAGTGTTTTTTTTCCTACTGCAGGAGTCCATTTGGTTACATGTTAGGCAACACACCTGACTGAGGGCAGTTCTGAAACCCAACCACTGGTACACGTTTGGTGCCAATTACAAATCCCATTCAACATTTTAAGAGCTGAAAACAAACGTAAAACTATGCCTCGTATAAAAGATTAAACGAATCAGCCTGTGATTAAGAACTCAGCTGGAGCACAAACTAAGATAAAGTGGTTCCTCAGAAATGGCATAGACACATCTAGTAAGTGACTGCAAGTGTCTGCAAGCCAGTGTTCTTTAGGGTTGGAATTTTAGCAAGGAACGGTGTCTTGGACAGAATTTCTAGTTGCTTATATAGCTTGCATACACAGAGCAGTGTGAAATAATTAATGATATGTTTACTTTAAAAGTTTTGCAGTTTTTTTCCTGTAAGTTGAAATTTGCAATTTACCAACACATTTTTTATATGAATACTACATAATGCACCTTAATGTTCTTAGAACATTGAAAGACAAAGAAGCAACACATTCTATTCTAACAACTAAATTAAACCTGAAATTTCCATGGCAGATTTTAAAAATGACAAAATCCCCCCCTCCCCCCAATATTTTTTTTACATTTCTAACTGCCTTTCAATAGAAACATCCGTCTTTGACATCTGTTAAAATGTGTATTGATTGTTAATATACTGGAAGACAAAAACAATATACCATTTTTCACAGAAAATAAAGTCAAACCAAATCATCAATCATCAAGTCCATGACCATAATAAACATTTAACAGTGTTTTTTTTTCTATTAGAATATGGTACAATACTTAAGCCATCCATTCTTAAAAGTTAGTATTGATTTGGCTATCACTTTTATCCACCTACGTTTGTATAGCTGGAAATTTACTACAAGAGCATGACAGACATGCTTTGTTTAAGGCTACAGCTGCAGTGTCTCTGCTGGGATTTGAACCACAACATTCCAGTTCTCAGTTTAGAGCTCTAACCACTACTCCATATTGTGCTGAAGATAGTCATGTTGCGGATTGACGTCAGTGCTGACATCACAGTTTGCTGGATAAGTTCATTCATTTGAAGTACTACTGACACACAGTCCACATAGCAGGGAAATATCACTCTTCTGCAATGACTGACAGTGGTGGCATATTTAAACAATGCACCACATAGGATTAAATTATTTTTGGGCACCCAATAAGGATTTCTAAAATAAGCTGAAAAGTTAGAAATGAATATATCAGATAAAGGAATTTGTGGTATTTGTGTGATTGAATGTGTAGTAAAAAATGTAAAGATTAATGTAAAGTCTGCCGGAATTTGTGCTTATAGAATCTGGAAAATTGGCATGCTCATAAAGGCAAGTAGGAATATTGGAAATCAGGAAAGAGAAGAATAGTAGGGAGCGTACTGTCACCTACTTTAATAGCACTGTAGGGCATGGAACAACTAATAAAAAACAACTTGTGTTTTTCATCCCCCCCAAAAAACTGGTTGGGTTTATAGTGGATTGTATTAAAAATTAATCTACTGACATTAGATAAATCTGCTGACATCTTACAGTCTTCTGCAAGATCCACTGCAGAAGTTTAACAGCTTACTAGCAATAGACTTTCTAGCAATAAATGGCTAATGTTACACCAGAAATTATTGTATTATGCAATATTTACAGAGGAGGAAATTCGTGCCATTTTTTTAAGTTTTCAATTGAACATTTTTGTCATAAGTCATCCTGAAATATAAAAACGTATAAATATTTTATACGACAATATTTTGTTATTGTGAATCTTATTCTAGGTGGTTTTATTATATCTTTAACCTGTTGTGGCCCAAATATTGTAAATCAGAAATCTCAACTTTCAGAAAATATTTAAAATATTAAATACCAGTAGTCATATGCAATATTAGGGGCATGTGCACTTTGTTCTTAATGAACGATTAAAGCCAAGGTTTAAAACTGATGCCCCAGCTATTAAAAAGACAGATGAAGAATATTTTCTAGCTTGGGTTGATATGGTACTAAAAAATACTGTTTTGTATAGCTGAGAACACTGCAAAGGTATTTTGTTCAATTAGTCAATAAAATATAAAACAAAATACTTGCATGTGTTATTGTATTCGCACTGAATGTTTTATTTAATTTTCTGTTTTTTATGTGCTTGAGATGTAACCAGGTGCTATTTTATATAATACCAATAAACAAGATACAACACACCTCTCATTGTGTTAATTTGAAGTGTATGCAGTATTAAGCAAGTGTTAACCACCAAAACAGTCAAATGGGACAAATGGCCTCTTCTTATTTTAAACTTATGTTCTTATTAATGTATAAATTCATATCTAAGTACATATACTGTTGTATTAAGACATCCCACCGTGCACAGCAAAAAATGTCTGTTCAAAAAACATTAAATCAGAACAATGAATTATTTATGAATTAATTAACTATGAATTAATTAATTATGAATTAATGGCTATTAATTAAAGTCCTTAACTGAATGTCAGGATGGGATAACGACAGACAAGCCAACTTCACCTTTTAAATCACAATCATTACTGACTTTTGGTATATTCTCTATAACTTTTGTGCACACCCCTTCTCACTTTTTTTCCTCATTCAACAAACTGTGCTTCAAACAGGCAGGAAGGAGAAAACATGACAGAGTGAAAGAAAACAGTATGCTCCTTGTTTTGAATTCACCGCACATTTTATTGCGTTCATTCCGTGTGTCAACAAGCGGGAAAGTGAAAACAAGGCAAAAAGGAAAATATGCTCCTTGTTCACCTTGCTTCTTCTCACATTAACTCTAACCGTGGATGGAGCTTCAAATAGGGGGCAGGAAACAGAAAATGGAGCAAAAACACGCTTCTTTGTATGCTTCATTTTGTTACTGTACATTCTATACTGTACGTGGACATCGCCTTAAACAAGCAGGAAAGTGAAAACACGACTGAACAAAAGAGAGAAATGGTACTTATTACACATTTACCTCTCACTTTCATCTCTGTAAACATCCCACAGGAAAGCATAAACACGATGGAGCAAAAGAAACGAAAAAGAACATTTGAGTCATATTTGCCTTGCTCTTTATCGCATTAATTCTATACATGGGCAATGCTTCAAATAGGAAAGAAAATGGAACAAAAAGAAATACGCTTTTAATGTCTGCCTTTTCTTTTATCATGATGTCCACATTTCATTTTCATGCGGGTTTATCCAAAACTTATTATACTTACTCAGTTGCAAAGAATTTGATTCATGGGTGTCATTATTCCTCATGACATGTAGTTAATCTAGTACACGTTATAAGAACATTTAAGACAGAATTTATAGCCCCTAAAATAAAGTGGTACCCATAGGAATTGTGTTATGTGTGAGATTTTCCAGCATGAATTACACTCCTGCATATTGTTCCAATACCTGTCCACTCTTGATCAGACTATAAATGGTTAATATTATGCTTTTAGAACACTTCCAGATACATATTAATCTAAAAAAAGTATAGCATAGATGACAAACAAGATGAAGCAATTTAACCCATCTTTTCCCATTTGGTCAACAGCAGTTTATTGATCCCAGTACTCCAGCCTTTTATTTAGCAATCCCAGCAATTTCACAGTAATATATAGATTTACAAAAATAGACTGAGCAGTTCATCAATAAGTAAAATAATCACAACCCTCAAATGTGAAAGTGAAAGATATGCCAAGAATATGAGTGGTTTGTATAATTAGAGAGAGAGAGATAACTTTATTAGCCACTTTATGTGGCAGAGATCCTTAGCCACAGTGCCACCGCTCCACCCGGCACATACGTTTTTAGTTCTCTGTCACAGCAAAACAGAAAAAAAAAACAAAAAAAAAACAAAACAGAATACAACCTAGAGTTAAATCTCTCTAAATCCAGATCCTACAAAGTGAATGGGACCCTGTCTCCCTATTCTAAAAATGCAAGCAGGCGAGACCATCTTTACCCTAGGGATCCTTTATACAGGAAATCAGAGTTTCCTAAAAACAACAGAATGGTAAGCTCTCTTAACAAGGATCAAAAAAGGATCAAACACTCAATCACAAGCTGGTCTTTACAAATGATCCTGACCCTCTGGTGGGTTCCTTTTCTCTGTCTTGTGTTCTTCATTTCCTTTCTCCTCTTGTTACTTTCCTTCTCTTTCCTTGTGTCTCTGTCCTGTTTTGTCGGACTGTTGACAACTGTGAATGATTTACCCAGGATGAAAATGGAAACGCGGTAAGTGGGCTGGGCTACAAACTAGACTAAAAACCGAACGCAATAACTTTACCAACCATTTTACTTGGTTGTCCAATCCCTCGACAACAAAATCGATGAAAAATTAAAGAATGTTGTGCTTTTATTTTCACCTAAACATGGCTAACAGCCAGTATTACAGTCTTGGCTATACACCTAGATGGGTTTTCTGCCTTCCACATGGACAGAACTACAGAGTCCGGTAGCCAATGGGAATTTTTTTTTTACACCCCTTATCTTTTCAAGAAATGCCCCGGGATTTGTAATGACATTGGTTTTACATGTCCCCGTTACTATACTGGGGCATTAGGACCCACACAGGCTACAGGGTGAGCATCCCCTACTGGCTCTGCTAACACTACTTCCAGAAGCAACCTTAGTTTTCCCCAGGAGGTCTCCCATCCAGGTACTGACCAGGCTCACACCTGCTGAGCTTTAACAGGTTGCCAGTGGTGAGTTGCAGGGTGATATGGCTGCTGGTGATAAACAATATTGAGTGCAGACATGAGCCTGCTTCAATCTATTGGCCCCTGTACTTCAGCCAGGCAGAGTACTAAATGTTTAAAGGGGAATAGAGGAGGGTTTGCTAAGTATTTAAGACTTAAACAAAGTATCACAGTATCAGTGTAATACTCTGAAGGCACACTTTGAGAAGGAGGTCAGGAAATGGACACATGGACTGTGTTAGGATCCAGCTCCATACTCTGGAGAAAACAGTTGGGATGTAATGAAGGGTGAAAACAGTGTAAGGTAATATAAAGCATCTGGATGGCAAAAGACTCGGTGCGGTCTGCTGAAAACAAAACAAATGAAGACATCTCATGCAGCAAACACACAGTGAAAGCAGCCTAATTCTTGCGGGCACCAGCTATTATGAACATGGTTGCATGTACTGTATATTGGTACAACAAATATAGTATACCCATGTCTTTTCAATATCACAGGACATGATGCATATTTAAGATAAAGTTGTATAATGAATACTGCATATATGTAAGCTTAGGTCCTGTTATTGTTGTTTTACTCAGTCCGTTTAAAATATTTTGGAGTTGTATAGACCTCTCTATCTTTAATGTGCTTTCTGATTGGTTACAGGATAACATGACTAGGAAAAAAAGGGAGAGATCAGGAAGAGAGAGTGAGAACGTAGTAGGTGTATACAGTATATGACTCTCCATTCAGTTCCCATCGTCATGGGCAGAGTGTTTAACCACCATCGCACAAACCCTACAGTTACACATATAATACATGCAGCATATTTACAATCAATAATATAAGCTACCAGCCACGTTGCCATGTTGTTGAAGCCGAGATCCTGGCTTCCTTTAAGAAACAGCTGGATGAGACCACCAAGCTAGGAGAGGAGGCACGTCCTTACACAAAGGATCTGGGAGTTTGGAACAAGCTGCCCAGCTATGGGTTTGAAGATGATACCTGTTGTATAATTGACTGTTTGTTATGCAATTTGGAATTTTTAAAATGCCTCTCCATAGACTTGCCAGAATCACACCCATGTTCACCGAGCTTGAGGGCAACAGCATTAACTCTATAGTACTACAGTAAGGACTTGACATTACACCTTGTATGCATCACTATTTTAATAAAAAATGAGTTTATTAAATATTCTGTGAAATATACAGTATATACTTGATCATCTGAGATCAGGAATCATTCTTGCTGTTCTCTGAACAGTTTCTATGGCTCTTTCCACATTGGTCACTCCAAACACGACTGGCTTTTGAGAGATCCAGGAGGCTGTCCATCTTTATTCAACTAAATTAAGCAAAATCAACACTGGTGTACTGGGTAAGGTATCCTTTCTGAACAATGATACATGGTCATCCAATGCTCATCTATGAATGTTGCTGAATAAAAAGCAGCCTGCTTCAGGCCACAGAAGAAATGTGTGAAAGGGAGAGGTCAAGAGTCATGCTGGGGTTCTTGGCAGAGGAGGGAGAGATAAGGTGTCAGAAACAAGAGTAAAAGAAAAGGAGGAACAGGAATGGAAAAACAGGAAGTCGGACCTTGAGAAGTTGAGTTTACGATGGAGTGCATCCAGGAGGAGATGACTGAGGCAGGTATAGAGGAGGAAGCATGAGTATTAGTTGGAGAAAAAGAGACTATGATTTGATCCAGACTATGATCCTGATCCGCAGGAAGAATGCACAGAGAGAGAGAAGAGTTAGGGACCCAGGACAGTATGTTGTGGGGCAGCAGTGGAGAGAATGTCTTGCTAGGGGATCTGGTATGCGTGATCAGCAAAGCAGGAGGAAAACCAAGTGTGAGCACTGCCAGAAGTTCCTACTGTAGGTCAACGAGTTTTGAAAGAAGAATAGAGTGATCCATAGTCAAAAGTAGCAGAAAGCTTGAGACAGAGCAGAGAGAGGCAGCATGAACTATGAAGAGAATCAGCAGCTGAGAGAACAGTTTCTGTCAAGTTTGCCAAGGATGAAAGTCCGACTAGTGAGAGTCAAGCAGTGTGAGCTGCAGCAGCCTAGAGCTGGCAGCCTAACCACTCACTCATGTTTTTTAGAGAGAAAGAGAAGAAGGGAGAAAATCATTTAGAAATTTGTGGCAGTTGACCTACTGTGACTAATATAAACCATTCAAGAGGAAGAGGAAAAAGAAGAGGCTTAGGACACGAAACGATTAGACTAAACTCTCCAAAGCTAACTTGTTACTCACAGCTAGAGCACATATCAAAGTTGAGGATCAGACATAGAGCATACTACAGTGAAAAATCACCTTTTGAGGCATGTGTGGTGAGACTAAAATGTTGTTTTAATACTTTGTTCAGGATATAAAATAATGTGCACAATACCTTCTATTTACCTCCTGAATGCCCCTCTGGCAGCTTTGATTTGATTTGACTGGAGATTTCACCTCAGCATTCCAAGGAGCTATGGCTGTTACTGGGGGAGCATCGTACAGTACATTTCCTCTC